GGGGGCCGGACTTGGGGGGCCGGGGTGCGGGATCGCAGAGTCTCGACGGGATCCTGCGGATGCTGCACAGGTGCGGATATGGGAAACCATGGGAACAGTGTCCAGGGCTTCAGGCTGTTTCTTCGTGCTATTGGTTGCACCGTGATTTGTTCTTGAATCTGTCTTATGAATGGGCTTTTCTGACTTACAGGATTGTCTGAGGAAGGGCCCTCTGCTATTGTGATTTATATATGAAGGATCTTTGTCTGTAGGGTTAGGTGGTTTTGTGACCAAAATTGAGTGTGTGCATGCCTTCGTGATCATCTTTGCTTTTCTTGTGACTGTCTGAGCCTATGTTGCATGAGTTTTTATGACTGTGTGGGTAAAAAAGATGTTTGGGAAAAAAAGATTTTTGGTTAATCGTGGGCAAAGGGAGCTAGCAGACGATGTAAGATATGAAAATAATAATTTATAATTTATCAGGGGTCCACGGGAGGTGGGGGGAAGACAAGCTGATACAAAGGGCTCAAGCAGAAAGACAATGTTTTGAAAATGATGATAGCAACATATGGACAAATGTGTTTGATACAATTGATGTATGGATTGTTATAAGAGCTGTAAGAGGCCCAATAAAATTATTTATTAATTTTTTTAAAAAGAACCATTTGAAAAACAGAAAGCAAAAAAAAAGGTTACTTTTCCCTCTCGAACATTAACTTGTTGAGTAGGAAGGAGAGGGAAAGAATTTATCTTATATGAACAGTTGTCTTAGTTTCTTTACACATTTTTTTATTTTGTTAACTAAATTTGCTAAAGTTTTATCATTCTCCCCCTTTTACAGTTCTCAAATTTTAGTTTTAATAAAGTTTATTGAAACGTTAAAAAAAAGAATTTTATCTAGCAAAGATTTAGACATGATTTTTCTATTGGATCAAATATGCACGTTTCTGGAGAAGAATGGGAAATTGTGGTAACTTTAAAATGTTTTTATTTACTTATTTTTCGTTTGAAACCAACTTGTGTCTTACAAAAGAATCCAGGTGTATTTCTGTTTTACTTCTCCTCCTTTTATAAACATTCCCAACGTGTAGGTCTGATGGGTAAAGAATCTGCAGGGCTTTAAAGGGTCACAGCCTTCTCTGGAAAGGTTCTCTCTGGTCACAATGAATCCTTTTCATATAAGCAGTTTCCCTGGAACCTCATTTTTTTTGTGATGCCCAATTCATGGAACAGTGTGCAGCCGTGAAATTTTGTTTCCTGCTCGGGAAAAATGCCACAAAAACGGTTGTGATGTTGAACACAGCTTACAAGGACAGTGCTGTGGGAAAAACTCAAGTGCATGCTAGTTTTCTCATTTCATAAAAGGTGAAATGTTAATTGATGACAAACCTCATTCTGGATATGTCAATTTCCCTAATGGATGAAAATGTCCACTCGTAGTGCATTTGGAGTTGTTTCCACTAGGTCAGACTGTTAATCAAATTTTCTATGTAGAGGTTCTGAAAAGATTGCATAACAGTGTGTGACCAAAAAAGGCCTAATTTTTAGCAGATGGGGGACTAGTTTTGTCACCACGACAATGCACGCAGCCATCTCAGCACTCCAGTTTTTGGCCAAAAAACAGCATGCCTCTCTTGCCCCACGCACCTTGCTCACCTGACCTTGCTCTGTGCAACTTCTTTGAGTTTCCTCTAATGAAGAGGGACATGAAAGGACAGCGATTTGAAGACATAGAAGAGGCTGAGACAAAAAACTAGGGAGGTGCTGTCAGCTTTCCAAATAGATGAGTTTGAAAGATGTTTCCAAGAATGGAATCGCAGATTTGACAAATGTATTAAGTGTAAGGGAGCATACTTTGAAGGTGATAAGGTTGTTTCATAAAAATAAAAACATAGCTTTCAAAAACAAATTCCAATTTGGGGGGGTACCCCCATGTGCAATTTATTTCCCCCATTTTTTTTATTTCCCCCATTTTTGTGGAATATAATAAATACAAAATTTTTTCTATTTAGTTTCACAGCCCACCTCATCAAATCAGTGACCGTATCCCACTTACCTGTGGGTTTTTATGGTTTGTGTGTTTTTTCTTTACTCACTCTCCCTTTCTCCTTTCTTACCTACCTATCTTTCCCCTTATTTTTAAAGAGAAAGAATTTCAAAGTCAATTCTTGAGTAGCTGCTTTTTCTTTGGCCACAGCCCCCACGACAGTAGTTGTTCATTCTGGTCCACTGTCAGGGTCGGGGGAGGATAATCTGGGTACTGTTGAGAGGCTGTCGACTGATAAAATACATTTACACCTGGAGAAAGGAACCCTCACGGTGCAATGGATGAACACTAGGCTGCAAAACTAAAAATAGGCTAGAACCCACCAGCTACTCTGCTCAACAAGGGAAAACCCCTGCTGATCTGTTCCCATAAAGATTAGAGGTTAGGAAACCTTACGGGGTGATTCTACTCTGTTCTATAAGGTCCTCATGAGTCAGAATCCACAGATGGCACAGTACAGCAATTTACACTGGAGAATGTGCTAGTAAACACTAGCCCTATATTTTGTTAGATGTGAAAGCAAAGTATTTTATTGAAAGATAGATTTGTGAATCTTGAGACACCTTTTATGGAAAACAAGGATTTCTCTCAAGCTGTCTCCCCCAAATGTATGCCAGACTTAGCTGCTTGAGAATGACTGTACACTTGGAGGTCATCAGGAGTGGATTGGGGGTCATTCTCCCTGAGAGTTATCAGCTGTCTAGATCAAGCAGACACCACTGTTTATCCCACACAAATAGGGTCCATTCCCTTCTGACATTGTTCCCTTGAAGGATGAATAAGCTTAGTCTACCATATTGAGTCCAGGGTCCACCCATCTTGCCACACATGCTCCCCTATTCCCTCCCTTTACTATTGCGTGTTCACCCCTAGGTCATCCCCCTCCTATTGCTTGTACTGCCTATGTTGCAACCCCTCCCTATGACGTAGGTTGTTACCTGCTATCAGGGGGCTTGCATGCCTCCCAGGATAGTAGTTGTCTGTTCATTGTATGAGACACCAGGGAGATCAAACTCACCTAAGGATGAGTTGTACTGTCCCTTTCTATGACGTGTGATTCTACAATCATGTCCCCCTAAAGAGATATAATGGTTGGTTAGCAATAAAGAAGAAAGCGAGCTCCGGAGCCAGAGAGGCATTCCCCAGCTCTGAGGCTGAAGGCGCTCCCTGATTCCCGGGACCCTCTCTGGCTCTCGGGCCAGGAGAGGCTCCCCGCTTCTCGGTCCCGAGGCTGCTCCTGCTCTGGTAGCCGGGTTCCCCCCACGAGGACCACTAAGCGGGGCTGAGGTGAGCAATGCTACCATGTAATGTGTCTGACTGTATTATTGTAATATCTCTCATGCTCTCGATGACTTTAATATAATACTTATATATCTCAACCGTACAATTGTGCATTACTGAACCCATGGGTAGTAGTAGTAGTAGTAGTAGCGGTGGGGGCTGGCCCCCCTCACCCTTCCAAATTTAACTTAATACTACACCCTTGCACTCGGGCAGGGTACTCAAACTCAAAACACTGCCATTGAGTTGATTGTGACTTATAGTGATCCTATCGAGCAGGTTATACTGCCCCTCTGGGTGTTTAAGACAGTAGAAAGCCTCATCTTTCTCCCTTGGAGCAGCTGGTGGGTTAACATTTAACAAGCTGAATTCTGTGTTCAGAGCAGCAGAAGCAGAAATTTTAGGCCAAGCTAAAGTTTGATTCAAAATAGTTCCTAATTTAGATTTTAGACAACCAATGATGACTGTAACAGAAATTATTACTATATTAGCAAATGTGTATGTAAGACTGAATGAGTCCAGAAACTGATGGCTTTGAGTAACCATCTAAAAATGTCCAGATGTCCCTTTACAGAAGAGTCACAGGAAGGAGACAAGCCAGTCAGGGTGCGATGTAGCAACAATGAAGCATACAACTTTCCTCTAGTTCATAAATGCTTCCTCCCCACCCACTATAATGATCCCAATTCTACCTTACAAATCTGGGTAGACCAGAGGATGTACGCTGGTACAGATAACTGGAAACACAGGGAATCCAGGGTGGATGATCCCTTCAGGACCAGTGGTGTAAGTGGCAATTC